TTTTTGGATTGATGAGAATGGTATCTTGAGATGGCGTGATAGAGTTTGTGTTCCGGATATATCCGATTTGAAGAAGAAGAATTTTTAGGAAGAGAATCATAGTGGATTGAGTATTCATCGTGGAGCTACTAAGATGTATCATTATTTGAAGAAATTATTTTGGTGGGTAGGTATAAAGAAAGAGATTGCAGAATTTGTCTATTCTTATTTGATTTGTCAGAATTCTAAGATTGAACATCAAAAGCCATCTGGTTTGTTGCAACTGTTACCTATTCCTGAATGGAAATGGGATACTGTTTCTATGGATTTTGTTTCTGGTTTGCCTAGAACACCGAGTAATTGTGAAGTTATTTGGGTTATTATGGACAGGTTGGTGAAATATGCTCACTTTATTCTTATGAGAATGGATTACCCGATGGAGAGGCTTGCAAAACTGTACATTGAGAGCATTGTCAGTTTATATGGTATTCCATATAACATTATATCAGATAGGGATACAAGGTTTACTTCGAGATTTTTGGAAGGTTTGCTGAATACTTTGGGTACGAAGTTGCGTTTGAGTTCTGCTTATCATCCGCAAATACATGGTCAGACTGAGAGGACGATTCATCCACTTGAGAATCTTTTGAGAGCTTGTGTTTTAGAACAAGGAGGTTCTTAGGATAGTTATTTTCCTTTGATTGGGTTTACTTATAACAACAGTTTCCATTCGAGTATTGGAATGGCATCGTTTGAGGCTTTGTATGGTATAAGGTGTATGATGCCTCTGTGTTAGTATGAATCGGGAAAGAGTGTTGTGGTTGGACCTGAGATAGTTCAACATACTATGAATAAGATTAAGATGATTCAGGAGAAGATGAAGGCTTCTCAGAGTCGTCAAAAGAGTTATCAGGATAAGAGGAGGAAAGCACTTGAGTTTGAGAAGGGAGATCATGTGTTTCTTAGGGTTACTTCGGTAACGGGTGTTGGTTGAGCTTTGAAGTCACGTAAGTTGACGCTGTATTTTATTGGTCCTTATCAAATTTTGGATAAGATAGGTGAAGTGACTTATCATATTTCTTTGCCACTGTCGCTTTCTAATCTCCATGATGTGTTTCATGTGTCTCAGTTGAGGAGATACATTGCAGATTCGTCTCATGTGATCCAGTTAGATGATGTTCAAGTGAGAGATAACTTGACTGTGGAGACATCACCTATGCAGATAGAGGATCGAGAGGTGAAGCAACTTCGTGGTAAAGAGATTGTCTTGGTGAAGGTAGCTTGGGGAGGACCGGCGGGTGAAATCGTGACTCGAAAACTCGAGAGTCAGATGAGAGAGTCTTATCCTGAGTTGTTTGTTTGAGGTGATTTTTTAGGACGAAAATCTTTTAAGTGGGGAGAGTTGTAACACCCCGATTTTTCTTTATTAATTAATTTATTAATTATTTGTTATGTTAATTATTATTTGATTGATAATTATTTAAGTATTTGATTTTATGTGATTATGTGAATAATTGATTTAATTGGAATATACGTGTTATTTGAGTAATTGGGCTAGTAAGTGTGAGAATAGCGAAATATTAGTTAATTGGGCCTTGGTGATGGTTTAGTGTGAGAGTGGGTTAAGCTCAATAGAGAAAAGCAAGGGTTAATAAGAGTTGTAAAACTAAATAGAATTAGAAGAGTTTTATCAAGAGAAGAGAAGAGAAAGAGGAGAAAAAAGGAGAAAGAAGATGGAAGAATCCTAGAGTATCTACATCTAAAGTAATGGTGGAATTTCTTATTATTATGGGATTATATATGAGTATGTAATGGGTAGTAATATGAATTAGGGATTTCAATTTCAATTTCTAGGTTTTGATATACTTAGGTTTTGAAATGTGAATCATGAATTGATGTTTGGAAATCATGTTTTATGATGGTAATGGATGTTATATGTTAGATATAAGTCATAATAAATTTAATTGGTGAAAAATGGGTGTTGGAATGGATTTTGAGTGAGAAATTCTTAATAAGACAGAACTGTCCGTAAGCAGGTTTTTCTGGTTTTTCGCGAGGCCGCTTAGTGCCCTAGGTGTCGCTTAGTGCGGTTTGAAATACAAAACTTGTTATTTTCTTAAAAAAATCCTGGTTCTTGAATGCTTATGATTTATCATTGATTTACATGAATTTTAATAATTTATTCGATGTGTTTTGGATTGGTTTCAGATGACTTTTGATGAGAAATATGATACTTGATTTTGTGTATGTAATTGTTGGGAATTGATGTTGATTGAAGATAACATGGTTTAGACTTGTTTTCTATATGTTATAATGATGTGTTGAGATGATTAATGATAAGAAAATACATTGTATGTGATTGATGACATGAAACATGTATGATGTGCAATTTGGTGAAGATAATTCAAATGTGTTGAATTATGTGAAATATGCTTGTATGATTAATATATGGAGATGGTCTTAATTGAATATTTATGTTGAGATTGCACATGCATCATTTGTGTCAAGAGGCAATATTTGAAAATTACATGGGAATTAGTGATTTGTCACAAACCTAACAGTGAGGGGTTTGAAAGCTTAAGGCCGAATTGAGCTTTTATTGGTGGTTATATGTCTTAAAGATGTTGATTCGACGAGACAGATAAGGATAACAATTGGTACCACATTCATATTGCATCGTTGAGTTGCATTGGAGTCACATGTGTCAATGTGAAATATTGAATTGGTGTGCAATATGTGATATTGGTGTGAATGTTACATTTGTGGTAGTTGTGATTGATTATCTTTGAATATTAAATCGTTGAACAATGTTGTATATGAAATCATGTAATTGTGTTGAAGTATGTTGAATAAATGATTATGTGAAGTGAGATGAATTCATTTGATGTATGTTGGTAGTACATTACTTATTATAATATATTTCTATAATGATATGAATTCTCACCATTTTGTTTAAATGGTGTTTTGTACGACATCGCTCAGGTACCGAAGATAGCGGTGGTGCTTCTAGCAAGGAGTAGTTGGAAGAGCTAGTCCTTTATTTATCTGTTTTACTAGGTAGTGAGTCATGTTCTGGTCTATGTAACACGGAGAACGTTTGGATTCATGTTTATTTTATAATATTCATGTTTATTTGAGAGATGTTGTTATACTCTCTGAATTATTTTATGTGAATTGAGGTGTATGTGATGATGGCCTTTAGGGCCTAAGATTTATGTTATGATTGCCAGTATGGAATTTCAATCATTAGTCTTATTATTTTGAGTAGAAAATTAATCTGTTGCGAGATACATAGATGTTATGGTATGGAACATGATTTTAAATGCGTGTTATGATCATGACCAGTATATTTGTGTTGTTGTCGTCAAATAAATGTGATGCCCTCTTGTTATACATGAATTTTACTCTGATTATGTCATATATTTGTGCGGAATAGAAAATAGTGTTACACCTATCCTTGATACAAGTCGAGCACATTAAAAATAGTCTTTCACATGTACAACATTGATGGAATGATTAACAAGTACACAATTGAAAATCCAATTCACATATGGATAAGGCTTTGTTGTTGTGAAAAAGTTAATTAGAAAGCTTAATTTATGAAAAATCCGGATAAAAGAAAAAGAGCATCTTAACAAACAAAATTGGTGGTGATAAAAGTAAGCGTGTGAAAGGAAATCTATCTTCCCCTTAGTCATGGGCATTCCTTGCGGAAACATGGTCCCATGAAGCATGCATGCGCTTATCATTCTACTTGCTTATGTCACGGAAACACAACTCATCTATCAAAATGACTTGTATTAACAAAAATTAAAAATGAAACTTGATATGTTAACAAGTCTACTCACACATCTGTCAAAGATTCCAAAAGTCTTTTCCTATTTGAATTTCAAGTGTGGTTGGCACTGCCAGTAGCACCACACCAACTTAACTTTCTTTCTTTCTCTCTTTGCTTGCTTTCATATATCTTCTATATGCTTTCTTCAATTCTCATTCTCACAAAACATATATTACCACTCTAGTTACATTTTTCAATGTTTTTCTTTCCGAAATTGCAGGCCGGGCGGAAACATGATGTTTTATAGTTGAGTACATGAAATGAGATATTGGTGCGGTTCAATCAGAACACGGTGCTTTATATTTCATAAAAGCTCTGTGTTATTTGATTGAGCCGTGCCAATATCACGTATTCATCAGGCCAATGCGATCACCCTTGTTATTTAATTTACTAACTATATGTGAATGAGATTGATTACTATTCATTTGATTCTTTAAAATTTCTTCTGCAGATTTGATCTTCACCCAGCAAGCAACTAGTGGGGTGTCATACAAGAAATAAATTGGTATGGTAGGTAGGGAACTAATTCATTAATTTGTTGTACCTTTTTTTCATTTTTATGAAGATGGTAGGGACTTAAATTCATTTGAGGGCAGATATACAGGTAATATATAAGTGCTTTATGTTAAAGGTTCTTTAGATTAACTACTTTTTACTTAAGGAGTGTTTTAGAACTAAGAGTTTGCTTTTGAGTTTGAACAAGTCTGATAGATAAAACCTTAGCAGTTGAGATTTTTTTTATAAATTTCATATTGGTTGTAATAAGCTTGTAAACTACTTCTCTGCAAGTTCCAAATTTCATGTTTATTGTTCTGCCAAATCTGATATTTTCGACACCATTATGAGATATAACTATAATTATATTAAAAATTTTAAGGGAAATACAAGTAAGTTCAGTGAGAGTTGGATATAGTGATAACTAATTATTACGAAACGTTAGACGTGGCCTCCTCCGGCCACGTATCAAAAAAATATGCTGGTTGCTACTCTACTCTTCTACTTGTTCATCTCTTCCGCGGTTATCTCATTCTCCTTAGTTTGGAAAAAAGGATGACCACTCTCAAGCATCAAGTATCCAACTACTTGTATGCGTAGCATGCGCCTTTCATATATGTTACCCTCTTTCAAGTTTCTGAATCTTGTGCTTCTTGAGTTTAGAAGGCGGGTTACGAGTTGCGTCCTATCAAAAAGTTGTGTTCCACAATGCATTTTCATCCTCTGCGCAACGCTCGTGAACATACTTCATCCTCGTAACAGACCGGCAAATCCCGCTGCATTTCCAATCAAATGTAGCAACGCACGTATTACCTGCCTGAGCCTTCCACTCACAATCTGCACAAGGGTAACACTGTCAGAAACCATCAAAAAATGATCATATCTGGATTTTGAATGTAGAATCAAAAGAATATACCAGGGGGTGAACCGCAACATATTCCCCTATCGTCGATATGTTCAACATCTAAACCTATGAACCATGATCCCAATGAAACATCTTCATTCGCATATTTATGCAGCACATCCCTGATATTATAAAACAAAACTGTTATCTATCAAAGAACTACCGTGTGCCAAATTAGTTCGAAAACTATTCAGCTATTTTTTCGAGTAAAGGTCACAAAACTTACTGATTTAGCGATATATAAGTTGCCAAATCTTGTGAAATGGCATATAATTGTCCAGTAGCATGACGAAAGTACTTGTTTCCAACCTCACCAAACTTCCAGTATTCTGGTTCATGGTATTTCACTCCCCTGTGGCAAGACAGTTACACTAGGAAATAGTTTTAAACTTACCGAAAAAATTACAATTCAGTTTTTCTTACCTCTGAGCAAGGACTGGACCAGATTTCATGCATCCAACATACACCCGAGGCTTCAAACGGTGCATACTCAGAGTCGACCCGAGTGTTGCTGAGATTTTTAAAAAATAACAGCACAATGAGAAAATGATGAATGTGTTCGTAATGATCAACAATTGAAATTTCTTAGCTAATTAACTAAGCTTGTGATAAAACATGATACATAATCTACACAAGCTTACACTGGTTGAATAGTGACATCTATTATTAATTTTCTAAGGAAGGTAGTTGAATAATCCTATATCAAACAAGAATATAAGTTGATAAATATTTCGAGTCAAATGTTAGTTAAGCTACCTATTTTATACATTACCAGCTTCTCCTACAAAATCTGTCACATTGTCACTGTCACTTGTCTCTAACACCACCTAAAAATAATTTATTTTATTTCACATATTTTTTTGTTTGATAATTTTATTTCACATATTTTAATAATACTAAGAAATTTTAAAGTTGAGTATGGCTCATATGCAACGTCAAGTAGGGAGAGGGAGATCGGGTTCAGGGTTTTGCTGTAATATGTACCGTGGTGTGTATATAAAACCTGTGTTAGAGCAATAGTTTCTTGCACTCTAAGAAAGAAAGAAAATAGATGAAATCGAAAGAAAAAGTAGGGAAGTTGTAATTTATTCATAATGAATTGAGTAGTTCATTGAGAATAATTATACAGCCATTTACATACGAGTCACTTGCATTACAAGTTATTGATCTAATGTTGAATAACTTACTTCCTAGGTAGCTATAACTAACTAACTACCTTAACCAACTCACATTTGGATTATACATCGCATATAAGCATATAAGGATATACACCATAATCAGTTGTTCACTTAGTGAATCCCAATTTAACTAGGTAACTATCTATCCTTTTGCTTCAGGCCCTGGGAACTTGTTTAAGGCCATATAGAGGTTTGTGAAGCTTGTACACCATTGTTTCTTTCCCTCTTACCACAAATCTGAGAGGTTGTGTGACAAATACAACTTCTTAAATGGGACCACTCAAGAATGTTGATTTCACATCTAGATGGAACATGGACTAGTTCATAACACAAGCCAATCAACCACTGACCTGACTATTTTAGCCCTTGCGTCTGGTGCATAACTTCTGAGAAGTCAAGGCCAGCTCTTCGAAGGAACCCCTTGGCAACTACTCTTGCTTTATGTTTTATGTAATCGATCCATCGGGATTGAGCTTCAGCTTATACATTCATTTGACTTCAGTGGCTTTCTTGTCTGATGGTTGCTTGACAAGGTCCCAATTTTGGTTTCTTTCAATGGCACATATCTCATCTTTCATTGCGACTTTCCAAACTTCTTGTTTTAAGGCATCATGGTGGTTAATTGGATCTCCATATGCCATTAAAGCAAAATGGTGGACTAAGTCTCCTTCTGCAGTGACTTCATTGTCATTTACCAGCGCACAATCTTACAATCTAGATGGAACCACTCTTATTCTCGGTGGTTTCCCACTTCTATCGTCAGTGCCTTCTTCATTAGATGAATTTCCTTCCTCACTACCAAATTTATCAAGGAACTCATCAACGGCTTGTTTGAGGTGCCTGTTAAGTTCCAATCCAATGTCTCAGTTTCGTTTATTACAACATCTCTACTAATGGTAATCTTTTTAATTTTGGGGTTGTATAGTCTATAGACTCCAACTACATAGTAGCAAATAAGGATCATTTCTTCACTCTTATCATCTACCTTCCTTCTTCTTGCATCAAGAATCACAAAGATCCAAACACTCTGAGGTGGTTCACACTAGGCTTCTTGTCACTCCAAATTTCCTCAGGGACCTTCCTCTTTAATCTCTTGGTGGGACATGTGCTGAGCACATACACTGCAGTGGTTATGGCTTCACTGGAAAATTAATTTGACATGCTTCTTTGCTTCAACATATATCATACCATATTTAGAATAGTTATCTTTTTCCTTTCAATCGAGCCATTGAGTTGAGGTGTGTAGGGAGTTATGATCTCATGTTAAAAGCCATCAACACAAAAATCCTCAAAGACCTTAGATGAGTACTCATCTCATACACCAGTTCTTAACACTTTGATCCTCTTCTCAGCCAGTACCTTGAATCTTTTGAACACTTTCAAATACTTCATCCTTGGACTTGATCAAGTAAACCCAAAATTTCTTGTATACTCATCTACAAAAGAAATGAAGTACTCCCTCTGTCTCACAATAGGTGTCCTCTTTCCTATTTTTATTTGTCTCAAATTATTTGTAATTTTAGAATACCAATATGATATTTATTATTTCTTTCCACTAACTTACCCTTATTTATTGAACTTTAAATCATGTAAATACTCCACTATCTATTATTAATAAGGTTATTTCAGTAAATAACATTTGTTTTATCATTGAAATCAACACAATTAATCATTATCTTAAAAGTGTGAAAATCTCAAAGAAGACACTTATTGTGAGACGGAGGGAGTACTTGTTTCCTTCTAATGATGTAACTTCAAAAGATTTACACACATCTAAGTGAACTACCTCCAATAATCTAGAGGATCTCACAGGATAGATGAGACTTGAATGAATTCCTAGGTTGCTTCCCAACCAAGCAACCTTCACACATCTTCTCAAGCAATGAAATTTGGGCAGGCTTGTCTCTGTTTCTTGAGTTACCAATTGGTTTAGAGATCTAAAGGATAGATGGCCAGACCTTAGATGTCAAAGCCAATTGAGTTTGTATTCCATCACTGCCTGAAGACATTGTAGTTCTGTAGCACTGATTTTTGTTTGAAAGGTTATGTTTTAGGCTAAAGGTAATCTTAGCACAAGCACATTCCAATCATGTGTTTGGAGAACCCTGTGTCAAGATACTAAGACTCACGCTGATGATCCTCCTTAGATACTGCATCCAATAGAACAGTTGGTTCCTCTGAGTCATCTTGTGCTACCTTGGCCTCACCATCAGAGTCTTTTTCCTTGCTCTTGCCTTTGCAAACTAGCAATCACTTGCATAGTGACCCCATTTCGCACAATTGTATCACTGAATGTGCTTCTTGTCTTGCCCTTTCCTTTGTATCCTTATGACTTGATGTCCCTCCTCCTCTCTTGGAGGATTTAAGTTTCTCCTGATATTTGTTCTTTTATGAGCTAAGCCAATTTCCTTTTATGAACATTCATTTTCTTGACTAGCCTTTGAATTTTTCATTTCCTTCATTCTTCTTGAATGTTTGGGCCTGTAATGCCTGAATTGAATCTTGAACTCCCTTCATGTCCACAATTCTCAACTCATGTGCTTCGTATGAGTCTTGTAGTTGTTTTATCTTCAATATGGACATGTCACTTGATTCCTCAATTGCTACCACTACATGATCAAATTGAGGAGTCAAGGTTCACATTATCTTCTCAATGATCATCTAATCAGTGATAATCTCACCATAACTTTTCATGGAACGAAACAAGGTTTGAAGCCTAGATACATATACAACAATCTTCTCATTCTCTCGCATCGACATCAGTTCATATTGCCTTTGAAGGGTTGCAGTTTCACTTTATTTTTACCTTATCACCACCTTAATAGTATTTAACAAGCAAGTCACAAGCCTCCTTCAAGCTTGTTGTATGAGATATCTTGTCAAAGTTAATATCATTAACAGCCTGATGAATGAAGAAGGTAGCTTTGCAATTTTTCTTCTTTAAATTTTTGTAAGTCGTTCTTTGAGCCTCGGTTAAATTTGCTCCATGTTCTTAAAACTCCTGTCGTCACCACTTCAAAAACATTTTGAAAGCCAAGCAAAGCCTTCACTTCTAGATGTCATTTTCACCAATTCTTGCCCTCAAGGATTGGGAGTATACTAGGGTAACCATTTCCACTAGCCATCATGCTCAAAACAGAAAAACAACCCAAGATTGTGTGAATCTCACACAAACCAAAGGGCTCTGGATATCAAGTTGATTATAAAAGAGATTTTTGCACTCTAAGAAAGCAAGAATATAGATGAAATTGAAAGAGAAATAAGGAAGTTGTAATTGATTGATAATTGTTGGAATTTCTGCCTTCATTGTGGTTCTTTGCGGCATTTTGGCTTGCCTTCATTGCAAGCCTCCAACACCTTCATTGTGTTGGGTTTGATGGGGAAGATTTAGTCTCATTACTTAGAGATATGGCTTGTGTTGTATTTATAAGTGGGGAAAATCCAAACTTTACAAGCCGATTTTGTAGGGATCAGTTAGGCCCAACTCAAATTCTGAGAATAATGAATTGAGTAGTTCATTAAGAACAATGATACAACCATTTATACACTAGTAACTTGTGCCACAAGGCATGACTAACTAACTTCCTAGGTAATTATAGCTAACTAACTACCTTAACCAATTCACATTTGGGTTATACACCAACTTGTAACACTGGAAACCCTACTTTCATTCACAATCAATAATACGGAACTAGTCGGAGACGTGGGCACATTAGGCCGAAAGTAACCAAATATCGTGTGTTTTGCACTTTATCATTTCTTTTCTCTTCTGATAATAGTTATTGTTCTAGCACTTACTAATAAACAAAATATGTTATCATAACTAATGGTAGACACCAGAGAAATTTTCTACGTACCTAAATTCACATGAACATCATCATCAACTTTGACATAAAATTCTGCATCCCACAAAGCAACAGCGGTTGAAAAGTATGTTTTCGTCTTAGCTGACAATTCCATGTATCCCTCGACATGATTCTGTTCAATATGATGTAATTTGTTAATTATAAAAAAGAAAGTACATAAAACACAAGGCATATAATTATATATTTGAATGAAAATAACAGGAGAGAAAGATCACCAGCCTCAAAAAGTCAGCATGAAGCTTTTCCTCGGCTTCAATAGCTTTGTCAAGAATTCCACCAAATGTAGAACTATAGACAAAAAGGTTAACTAAATACGTGTAGTAGTAGTAATGCTAAAACCTCGGAAAAAAAAATATGAAGTCATTGATGTTAGTCCCGAGGTTTTCATGACTTTATGTCATTGACTTTGGCATATTATTTAAAGTTCTTCCAATTAAAAAGAATGTTTTGAAATCGTATGCATACTACCAATCAATGAAGTAAGGCTACACTAAAAACTCTCTTGAGTCGCACCTAATATGTACTGATACGCCCAAATTTTTTTATTTAAAAAAACACAAAATTCCGATATACCCTGATACGCCATCGACATGTCTCCTTTATGTCACGAATACGACCAGGTTATCTCATGACTGTTCATTTTTTCAGGTTCATCCCCTTCTTAACTACTATTTTCTCAACTCTAATCATCTCCTCTTTATCCTATTTAAGTTGTGATGCACCCATTTAATATTCTCTAACGCTTACCATTTTTAAGTTGCGTTTCTTTTTTATGGTGTTGGATCGGAACTCTTGAAGTTGCGCCATTGTCTCTTGATGAACCAGATTTGGAAGTCACTCTATTTACTGATGATAGTGAAGGAGGACACGACAATAATACTATTCCAATATCTTAGTTTAGATTTAATATTTAGTAATGTGTTAAAAGATGTGATCTAAGTTTGGATTTTGTTAGACAATGATTAAACTTCACGTCTAATTTTAATTTTTATAAGCATATTTGAAACGTATCCTATCCTATATTTTTCAATGACTGGCTTATCACCGTATCGGAAACATATCGTGTTTGTGCTTCATTACTGCCGATCAACGCAATACAAACCAATCTTGTTGAATAGATATATAGATTCACTTCTTATCAGAATGAGAGAATCGTGTTTGAAATAACTTGATGTTAAGGCCACAAAAGAAAGTTTCATAAATATGTAAGAATGCTAAAAAAGACAGTGAATATCAAGAGACATTGAATCTGACCTGTGACCGATAACAAAACGTATGACTATGCCCTTTTCTTCCTCCAACTTCTTTCTATCCTCAGCTGATGGAGTTTTATTCGAAACCGTGGATCAGATGCATTAGGCACATAGAACCAAAAAATGAAGAAAAAAAACTAGAAAACGCTGAATTATTATAAATCACCTTGTGGCATCCAAGTTTCTCGAACAGAATCTCTTCGCTTCCTGCTACTAAAAGCTGTATTGATCCCTATAACCATGAAACATTTTTTCCTTGGAGTTGATTCGACTATCTCTGATTTTCCTGATACACGAAAACCATTGACTATAAAAATACAAGCATGAGCTATCAAAGCAAATTTAAGATTCAGCTCCAATGTAGATAGTCTTACTCAATTTCCTGCAGTTTATGAATAAAAATGAGTTTAGAATTAAAGTTTTCTGATACGAACATAACTAGATCCAGTACAAACAACAATCGGTTTGGCTTACTTGATAACATTCTGGATATTTGAAACTTCAACTTTACTGTAATTGGAGCTAGGCTTTACAACCTTTAGATTAAGATTACATCCGTCAGTGTTTAAATTTCTTTGTTCGATCTCTCTGTAAGTCCTTGAAATTTCTTTATATTCAGACGGCCGCATCCTGAATGATGCAGAATTTAGGGTTAGCATTACACATTACTATAAATTTTTGCTCCCTTGAGTAGTAATGAAAGGTGAAAACTAGCTTCATTTTCAGATTATAATAGCAAAGGCATGGTTTTAAATTGTGATCCGCAACCACAATTGCGGCAGCAATATTACTGATGTGGTAGTCTCCTCAACCGCATTGGACCGCAATTGCGGTGTGATTTCTACATTAGGAACCGCATCAGACAACTTCGCTCAAGTTTCTGCAAGTATTTTCGTCAAAATTCAAAAATTCTATCCCAAAAATTTAATTTACTTCTGAAAAATCTTAACATTAAGTGTTTTATAACGACGTATTTCAAACTATTCTCAATCAAAATTCACGTTACAACCGCCACGATACACATCGCAGCAATTGCAACACTCGCAACCGCAATTTGAAACCATAAGTAATGAGATGAACAAAAGTTCAAGTTATATTCAAAAAGCAACCATTTAGTGGGATGTCACGGGTTTGAACCTGCACCTCAAAGGGCACAGCAGCCGAATGTCTTTGCATAGCTACCAACTAAGCTGGCTTAACGGGACAAGCCAACATTCAATAAATCTTCCTATAATGCAGCCTACAAACTCAATTACTCACAAAGATCGTATAACTGAGAAAAGAAAAGAAAAACAAAGATCAAAACATGATAATGAAATTGAGAAACCCAGAAGCAAAAGTACCTATTAGTGAACAAAATTCCAGCACAGAAACTTGCGAAACAAAGCATAAGAGCCCATTTTCTGTGTACAACAGTCCTTGCACCTAGCTCTACACCGCCCACTTTGATTTTCACCGACATTGTTCTCACCCTCTTCTTATTCCCTTCACTATAAACAAAACCCACAAAACATAAACAAAAAACAACAAAAGAAAGAAAAAAATGAATTGAAAAAGCAAACTTTACAGGTTCTAATCTTTGGCATTACCTTGTACGGGTTTGGAACAAGAAGAGAGTAGAGAGGAACAACCTCGTAAATATTTATTTAAAACAAATAACGGTAACTGTTACTCAAAACCTTAATTTCAGTTCCTTAAAAACTGCTAAATGTTTTTGATCCAACAAATTTTCATCTCAGTTCAATGAATGGTCTCTCATAAATAACTGTACTTGCATTAAAATGGGAAAGTAAGTTTAGTTATTAGTTTTTTGTTTTATGCGTTAAGTATGATTTTTTAAGTTGTTATGTAATGTGTCTTAATTAATAATGTCGGTTTATTAAATTAAGTATTTTGTTACTATTATTACTATTATTAGTAATGTTGTTGTTGGAAGAAGGAGTTTAGGTTGAATTAAATCCAGTTGGGATGGATATGGATCCCACACAATTGTCTCTTTATATATATATATATAGTTATTTTTTTAAATAATTTTTTTCTAAATCGAATAAATACACATAATTAACTAGGATCTAATTTATCTCAAATCTATTTCATTTGATCTAAACTGTAAAATCAGTTCACACTAGTACAACCTCTGATCTTACTTTTCAATATACTCATCTTGAATCTTGAACTGACTTGGCGTTAGAGTGTTTGATGGCAAAAATAGCAAATGTACTATTTTGCCTCTTGTAATAACAGGGAGATTCCCTGAATGTCGATCTCAAAGACTGCATGCAATTATCGAGTACAATTCACGTTCAATTAAACAAAAACTTAATTGGGATTTTGGTTTAGAAATTGTCACTTAGCAGAAATAAAAAATAAGCAGAATGTAAATTAGGGTTTTTCACAGATATGAGTAGCATGTTAGGGTATGGTGTATAATTTTTTCTATAACAACCTTTAATCCTGATCTCTTCAAGAAGTTCATATCCTCTTATTATCAACTCTTTAGATTATCTTCCCCTAAGTCCTTAGTGGGAAAACCTTTAATCATCCATCCTAAATGTTAAGTCCTTAGAGGTATCTGATGGAGTCAAGTCTTTATTATATCAAGAGTGATCTGATAACTATAGGGCATCCCTAGTCCTAGGTGATATCTACTGTCATACCCCAAATTTGTCATACTCTTAGACTTATATTTAGTTTTCTTTTAAATTGGTCGCATTATTTAATTCTTGTTTCTATGGAGGTGTAAAACATGGAAGAGTGGCGTGATTGACCCAAAATGGACCATCAGAATCTGATGGCCCATTAGGTTTCTAGAGATCCATTTCGAATTAATAAGGGGTGTATTTATTTTTTAAAGGAGGCGTGGACAAGTTTTTTTTTATGAAGCCCATTTAGGTTTCTTTCAATAGGGTTTGAAGAATAGGTGAAGTAATGTTTTTTTTAAAAAACTCCAATAGGAAGGCTCGTCCAATCTTTTAACTTGTTTAAAGAATTATTTTAATTATTGACATTATTATTATTATTATAAACCGATTATCTATTATTATTAAAATCATTTTTTTAAGAATTGAAGAAAGCATCAAGGCCCATTTTCAGCTCTTTTTGTTGTTTTGAAAAAAGACAATGACTAAAAGATGAATTCAGCGCCAAGCCCAAACCCAGTTTGATTAGAAAGAAATTGTTTTTGTTACAAATTACTTATAGTCCAAAAAAAATATTTATTTTAAAGTAGAACTTTTCAAAGCCCAAAAAGGCCCGTTTTATTGTTTTGAAAATATTTATTTTATTTTTAATATCAATTAACGTTATCTTGTTTCATCAAAAATAAATAGAAAAAAACTGCAAGCCCAAGTCATTGCATAGCCCAAAGCTGGCGAACTTGTACTATTTGAATTGAAGGGAAAGGCAAACGCCGCTTAACTAGACTAACAGTTACTGTATAGATTATGCATTAAATTTTCATTCCTTTTTTATAATACAGAGCCATTAAAACCAGAAACAGAATTAAGCACAGAATCAGATTAATTCAGAAACATTTCAAAACTCAAAATCAAAGTAGAAATATAAACTAATGTCTTACAAAACCAAATCGGTATTCTCTCCTAAATCACTATCCCTAATCAAAACAAGTTAAGGTGTTTTCTAATTTTAATTCCCTAAAAAACAACTATAAAACCTAAACAAGATTACAAACAAAGTGGAGGGGGGAGAGGGAATCGGTGACAGAAGAAGAGAAAAAGAACATTACAGAAAAAAGAAAATAATGTACAAGGTTGACAGTAGAACTAAACCCCATCGTGAACCACCACAACACCGCGCCTCCCGTCCAGATCCGCCGCGCCTTCTTCATCACAAACACAAACCACCGAGTTTCCGCCCACAGCGGCGCAAATGCTTCCGCTCCTTTCCTATTGAAACACCACACCCGACATTGACGAACACCGCGCCACCGCGAGACTCAAGCACTGCTCGGTCTTTCAATCGTCGTTGTCGTATTCGTCCGTCGCGATTTCCGCCTTGAGACCTGCAAATGAAGAACAAAGAGAAGAAGTTAGGTTTGGTGTTGTAGAGAAGAGAAGACGGCTAGGGTTTTCAAGTGGTGGGTGATGTTGTTGTGTTGGTGTTAGAGAGGAGAGGAATAGATAGAGAGAGAGAGGGGGGAGTGACGCGGAGAGAGAGGGGTACAAAATGATATAAAACTTATGTTTTTTTTTTGTAAAAAATGAAAAATATATTAACTCTTATAATCTTGCGCATGTCCCCCATGATTATTACCATGTTCTCTCAATCGCAACCTCATGATCTTCATCATATGGTCTCAACGTGTACGCCCATGGTAATCCAGTACTCTCGTTCGTATACTGGCCACATGGATCCATCTCAAACATTCTAGGTCGGGCCCAGTCGTTACTTACACCCCTTTTCCATTTTTTTACTAATATGAGCGTTTTCAAACCCCCTTTCCTTCTGGACCTGAATTCAATATCTGAATTCAGGTCCCTCCTATTAACACCCATTCATTTTGTTGCTTTAGCTAATTTGACACCCCTTACGTTTTTTTTTTCAATTAAATTTATTTTATTTTTTATATTCTCATTTATTTATGTTTTATATTTATATATATTTATATATAGTTATGTATTTATTTTTTTACAATTATAAATATTATGTTATTGTTCATTATTTTAAATGATTTATTTTAGACCTACTTAAAATATGATATTTGTTTATTTGCAATAAATCATTTTTTTTAAATCATGTAAGTAAAAAATATTTTTCACCATATAAATTAATTTAATATTTTACATCAAAATATTAAAATTCGCGCAATTCACCAAATTATTACATCTGCAAGTGACACATGGCCAATATCTGACCACGTGACGAGGAGGCTATATCAGACTCCTTTGCTCTACGTATAAAAAATACTCAAACGAACACCAAATTATTTTTCGTAATAAATTAATTTAACATTAATTTTCGAAAAAGGAATACGAATATATTTGAGTCAACTGCGCACTTGGTCTAACAAACTCCTCTATTCACACTCTTAGGCTACGTATGCAGGAGATTCAAATATATCTCGCAATCCATAAAAAAACACCAACCAAACTGTGAACTACGAAATGGGACTTTGATTCCTCCTAAGAGGATACGTAGGCATACGATCAAAAGTCGCGACGAGTTTCCCTAATAAAACATTAAAACCCTTTTTCCTAAAAAAATGCGCTTCAAAACCTAGTATCCTTGTGAAAAAGGTAGACAAGGGGTGTCTAATACCTTCCCCTCGTCTAGAACCGAATCCAAATCTAGAATCTCTGAACTTTAGGGTTATTCCTTTATACTCCCTTCCTTAGGATAAAAATTAAGGGTGGCGACTCTGATTTAAAAACCAGTTGCAACAACTGGCGACTCTGTTGGGGACTCAACCCTAGGTTTAGAAGTCTCATCCCTAGGTTTTAGGGTTTTTCTTTATTTTTTTGGTTTTATTCTTTCTTATTTATTTATTTGTTTATTTCTTGTTTATTTTGTTTTATTATTATTTATATTTATTTATTTGTGGTCGAGTTTAAATTTTGCAAAAAAATATTTTCAAAAACCTTAGAAAGAAGGTTCGTCTATTAACCAAGGGGTTACATCAATACTATGAGTTTATGTAACGACTTCGCCTAGAGTAGGTAGAATTTTTCAAAAGGAATATCTTTCAAGAGATATCCTCTTGGGAAGTAGAACTTTGGAATAACACCTATGACTCTTTGTACGGCCTTTAAACTAAAAACTCGTGGTGAGACTTTTCATGACCTAGAGACGAAAGTTTTGGATTGTAAAGAGACTCCACTTAAGGTAGGTCCTTGTGCCTTTCCCTCTAGTGTCATTCATGATACCCTTAAGGAAGCCACCTTATGGAGAGGGTAGAATATCCGCAAGCCAATACTAAGAACTTACCTTCTAAGGATACATTTCACAAGTCCCACTACAATCTGCAAACCCAGAAGGATTATCCCTTCATCCACTACTATCTTTAGCTCGCATGGCTTCTGTCTATATCATCACCTGTGTCCTGTAGGGACTCCTCGTCATCTTTCATTGGCCATAATCCGCAAGGAATTACCACCTGTCTCAATCTCTAAGGCGGTATAGGATATCATCAAATCTATGTTTATTATCGTCTTCGCCTGTAAGGAGTCCCTATCTGTCTCAATTTCTGAGTCAGAGTAGGATATCATCATCAAACCTGTATAGGATACTTCTGCGTCTACCTTCATATTACGTCTACATCGCATTGCATATCCATGAAACATTTTTACCCTAAAAACAAAACAAAAAATACACTTTTGCATACCCAAGCATTTTTATACATTTTCATCCATATTCATAAAACTCATATCTCTTTCACTCACAGAAAACTTCCAACTGTAGTACAACAAGGTGATTCCCAGATACTCGAAACGAACTGGAGATAGC